AATAGACATGTGCAGTTGATTGGTCAGTTTCAAGTAATAGTCTGTTCACTATCTGTTTTCTTTCTGGCACCAGTGCGAATGTTTCTCACTATTCTAATTTACACGTAACTGTTTTTACTTTACACAACATAATGTGTAAGCTTATACGTGTATATTGGGTATGCAGCACATTGTATCCACAGATTAATTACCAATTGATGAAATTATGGTTAACTATCTGTGATACGTTTTATTTCATGATGATAAGCATACCCAATATACACGTATAAGCTTACACATTATGTTGTGTAAAGTAAAAACAGTTACGTGTAAATTAGAATAGTGAGAAACATTCGCACTGGTGACAGAAAGAAAACAGATAGTGAACAGACTATTACTTGAAACTGACCAATCAACTGCACATGTCTATTTGAAAACATAATTCATACCAAGTCAAGTTGTATGTATGTTGATGAAAATACAAGTTATTCACGTTTAAAGGAAGTAAAATCGTATTCTTATAGCATACGTGTAGCTTAGCTCGTCTACGGATTTTTATTGTTGACTTTTAACCGAAATGGTTGGCCAACACAACAAACTATCAAATAGATCAGGGAAATTCCTGGTGACAAAATATTCCGTATAGCCGTTTCATCGGATGTTGTTGTTTTTTTGTAATTATGCAAGAAATATACAGCATAAAGTTTTTGTTTTAATTATTAAATGTTTGTGTTTTGTTAACAGATATATTCACGGTATAGTAGTATTAAATAAACTACACTCCCGCTTAATTCGTAATAGTTTAGGCATATATATATGAATACGTAAAAACGTGCATCTGTTATTGCCATATTCCAGTCTTTAGTTTGAGCGTTTTGTATGATTATTCTATGAAAAAACTTTGAACCTTCTCAAAGGACAAATAAATCTCATTCCTTGCTATTATGCAAGAAGAGAATGATTATCGTCACGTACTTGAACAAGTTGGGTCCAAGAGGACACATCTTCAATGGCACGATACAGCTGTACAACATTAACTACCAACATGTCAAGCTGCAGTTGCATATTCCAGAAAGGAAGTCAGTGAAACAGCATTTCACACGCACGTATTATATATAAATTAGTGCTTTATTGAACAACTTGGAAAATCAACTTCTACATCACATAAAGTACCATTGAATACACGAACATATTTAAAACACCAACAGAAATATTAACCGATTGCCATAATGTTTCATTAAGATCTGGTTCTTACATTTAGTTAACAATAAAATATGTGGAATATATAGTCATTTCATGGACACACAAGTATAAAACATTTCATATTCAACAACTAGCAATTTAAAATAATCAGAATTGGTTTAAAGTTTTTGTATAAATATTTCGCTCACCTTAGACACTCTGTTTTCTTAAATCTACCAACACTTTTCTTTAAAAGAACACAAAACGCTCACAGACTACTAACTTTTTTCTATTTATCTACTGCAACGATTTCAAATATACAAACGTTTCACAATATTTCTGTGAACAAGAAATAAGTATTTCCTAAATGTGCACAGTTATTTAAACATTTTTCAAAAGACATTATAAACAAATTGTTCCACACAGGTTTCAAGATCAGTGGTCATCGTCATAATCCATTGTGGGGCTAGTAGGACTTCTTGTTGGTGAGGAGGGAGAGTATCCTGGACTTGCAGGAGAGTAATTTGATCCTTTAGGACTGGATGGTGAATATGTGGGACTTGTGGGGCTATAATTAGGAGAACTAGGAGAATAGGTGGGAGATGTAGGGGAGTACTTTGGAGATGTGGGGCTGTACTGAGGGGAAGTGGGACTATACTTTGGAGATGTTGGTGTGTATGTAGGACTGGTAGGTGAATACTTAGGACTTGAGGGAGAGTACGATGGAGATGTTGGAGAATAAGTTGGAGAGCCAGGGCTGTACTTAGGAGAAGTAGGTGTGTATTGTGGAGACCCTGGAGAATAACTTGGACTGGTGGGACTGTATGATGGGGAGGTTGGTGAGTACTTGGGGCTACTCGGAGAATAACTTGGAGATCCAGGGCTGTAACTTGGACTCTGAGGTGAGTAGTTTGGTGAGCTGGGTGAATAACTGGGGCTAGTGGGACTGTAGGAAGGTGATGTGGGGGAATATCCTGGGCTTGTAGGAGAATAGCTTGGGCTGGTAGGGGAATATGATGGGGATGCTGGAGTGTAATTAGGGGAACTGGGAGAGTAGCTTGGACTTGTTGGGGAATAGCTAGGGCTAGTGGGACTATAGCTTGGGCTAGTGGGGCTGTAACTAGGGCTTGTCGGTGAATAACTTGGGCTTGTCGGAGAGTAACTGGGACTAGTTGGAGAATAACTTGGACTGGTTGGGCTATAGCTGGGACTGGTAGGAGAGTAGCTAGGACTGGTAGGAGAGTAACTTGGACTGGTAGGAGAGTAGCTGGGACTGGTAGGACTGTAACTTGGACTGGTAGGACTGTAATTTGGAGAAGTTGGCGAGTAGCTTGGACTAGTAGGAGAGTAAGAAGGTGAAGTTGGTGAATAGCTTGGACTTTGGGGAGTGATTGATGGAGACGTTGGAGCATATGCAGGTGACGATGGAGAATAACTTGGTGACAGTGCACCAGCAGGACTGGGTATGTAAGGAGAAGCTGGAGAAGCAGGTGATCCTGGTTGTGGAGACCATGCTGGACTGTATCTTGGACTGTAGCCACTAGCATCACTTGCTGCTGATGGAGAGAAACCAGCAGCTCCTGGAGTCATTCCACTACCCAAACCCGGGGACCAAGCACTGGCATAGGCTGGAGTTGACCCTTGATTCCATGGAGTCATTTGTGGTGACATGGCTGAAGTGGGGCTTGCTACAGTTCCAAAAAATACACCTGGACCACCTGAAAACACAGAGATACTTACTCTTAAATTCTTAATACAACTAGTCTGATAATAATAGTTTCTTCCCACATAATCCATACCCAATGTCAAGTATGCAGTATATGTACACAAATTAATGCTAGCAAGGCAGAAAGTAATGATTAAGGTTATCAATAACAATTAACCCAAAATCTGTTAATCAAAAAACAACTTAATATTTTACAAGGAATTATTGGTATACACTTATAATAGTTAATTGCTTTATAAAACTATGTTTATGTTAGGCAATGAAAACAAAGTTTATGGATATTGAATAACGTGGCAACAAAATTATATAATGAACTTTTAAATACTTTGATACTGAAATTTTAGTAAAAGTCTGAATAAGCAAAGTAATACTAATTTAATAAATTTTGATCATTTTATCAGGTACTTTGTGCTGTGGTCCCATAATTTCCGCGACACAAAAATTCCGAGGAGTTTGATTAAAAAAACACCTACGAAGATACACAATCACCAATATACAATGAAAACATTTTTCTCATACCAAAATTTTAAGCAAACCAACTTTTTTTCTTGTTGTATTGTCAAGCACAAGATTCCATTTAATATATGCAAGTTTTAAACCTATTTTATATTCAATTATATACACACACATACATTTCTTTTCTGTGGAGCAAAGCAGTCTTTCATCAGTGAAGCAAAACCTGATATGGTTGAGTATGAAATGATTTAACTATGCCTACTTTATCCTGTTCTAAAAAAGAATTTTTTTTCTTTTGCTATCATACCTCAACATCATAATGTAAATGAAGTATAGAAAAATAAAACAAGCTTTAAAAAATGATGGCTAAATGTAGCAGACGTTGTTTGTTTGCAAACAATTTTCCATCTAACGTACCACCAATCTAAGTTTTTATCTCTTTGTTACGACCTCTACACAAGTTTCATCGCAAATCATACAATTAAAAATAACAGCAAAATAAGTTTGATTTTTCAGATCACTAGCCATAACTTCTGAAAGCTGAGATATGGACAATTACATCACACAATAGCAACTATAGTTGAGAAATGATTATTTGCTAAAAAAAAACAACAACTAATAACACTCTTGTATTTCAGTCGCAAGATTAAATTAGTGTTATTTTGCATAAAATTTTTTAGAAATTCGCAAATACTAATGATTTTGTTTACATGTTGAAAAAAAAAAAACCAAAGATTGAAATTCCATTTTTTTAAAGTAAATTTCAGCTCTTATAAACTTTTCTGTTTTTAACCCTTTGACTGCAGCTACTTTAAGGGCACATAGAATTTGTGCGAGCCGTACACTGAATACAGCACAGTCGCATTCAACTGCCAGAGGTAGACAGTACCCTATACAGTGAATCAGTAGTCAATGAGTTAAATGCATGGAAGAGGGACTACAAATTTAATTATTTTTAATCCAATGGTGTAATTGTACCCTCAAGATATAATGTATCCATCCAGAGGTAATAAGAGTTAAAATGGGAAACAACAGAGTTAAAGTAACCTTATTTAATTTTCCAGCATTAAGGAATATCACAAAAAAGATATTTTTTTATAATGAATGAAAAAAATACAATTCATCTACTTGTATGTATTTTCACATTTCACCAGATTTTGGAAAATAAAATTTAACATTTTAGTTGATCCAAAAGTTAAAACATAACTTCAAAATTTAGAAGAGACATATAACAACATGTTTATTATGATTATTATATAAACATTATTTTCTGCATCAAAAATGACTGCATGTTTTGTTGCCCACTCCTAAAGTCATGTAAAGATGTGGAAATAGTACATCGGTTATTTTTACGTGTATATTAGTACATCAGTAATAATTTAAAGTTAGCAGGGACTGCACCACCAAAGTTTCACATCGACTTAAATATGAAATTTAAGTTTTGTAGTATTACTTTCTTTATATGTATGTATATACCTGCTTATAATGTTACCTTGTGAAATAGCAAACTGGTTTTGTTTATTGTTCATTTATTATTCCCTATAGCATTTAGTTTATCTATGAATTTTATGTTACATTAAAACTCATCCATCTTCTAGCTGATTTTAAGTAAACACGTATTATGAAACTGACACAAGCTTCCCTAGCAGTAACATAGATATTATTCATGTAGCTAAAGATTATGTAAATTTATGATCATACGAGATGTACTCTCATAACCTAAGCAGTGAATAAATACCCTGTCATAAGCTGAGTCCCGAGATAGTTAGTGAATGATATAATTAGTAAATTATCACCATGTGTCACTTAATACTGTTATTAATACAGAAAGGTGATTTTGGAACATTGTGTTGTTTTTTGGAAAATATCTTTTTTCTTCCTATGGTTCTTCCCCTTGATTCCATTATTCATTAACATTAGTATCTAGTCCTGGTCAAGTATATGTTTATTAACTCTATTTTTTGAAAGTGTTAAATTTTATTCTAAATGTTGTTAAAGTTTAAAAATTTTTTTATTTTTGTTGAACCCTTATTGTAGCAGCATGTTATTTTAGACCATTACAACCTTTCAATGTAAGAAAATAAAGTGTTGATGTTCAAAACTAACAAACTTGCAAACGTGTGTTATACATTACCAATAGCAGGAACTACTATATTCTTGAACATAGCAACTAACAGACAGGCACCACTAGAATTAGCAGATTCAGAAAATTAAATTTTCAAGTATGTACACTTTTTAGTATTGTAATTTATAGCAAACACTAATAAATACATGCCATTTGATCAACCATAGCACACAAACCAGTTTACAACATTAAGAAATACAAAATTTTACACACACTTTTCAGTCATATACACCCCCACATATATGAGCCTCTAAAAAACCTTCATGTTACTGCCTATTTTCTTTTGTTTATATTTTTAATGCCATTGGGTTGTTTTGTCATGTTTAATGCTTTTCTTTATACTAGCATAGGAATTCAGTAGATGGTTATTAAACAGTTAGTTTTAACAGGTGGATATTCTGCTGGATGCAGCTTCTCATTCGGAAGTGGACACATTGAAAGGAGTGTCAGAGAATATTATGCTGGGACAACTAGCTAGAATGGGCACTGGTTGCTTCGACCTTATGCTGGATGCCGAGAAATGCAAATATGGTATTGAGATCCCGATGAATTTGCCTGGAATGGGACCAGTTGGTAAGTCATAACCAAAACCAAACTTATGTTTTAGAAATAACTTGAATTTTTCTTTCATTAAATTCTATCATTTATGTGACTAACTTAGCTTAGTGTAAATAAAAAGGAATTAAGAAAGATAGTAGCAGCTAACTCACTATGAAGCTGGTGGAAAATAGAGTACTAGTGAAACAAATATCTGCAAACATAAGTATTAATTGGTAGAAAACCTAGTTTTTTGGATAACAATGTGCATTTTTTCTTACTATTTTGTTAGAATTGTATTACTGTGCATGAAAGTTTTAATGTAGAATGGCTCCAAGTTTGTTTTTTTTAAAAAGAAAAAAAAAAGTCACAAGATCGAATTAGTGTTATTTGCACAAAATTTTCTAGAAATTCAGAAACATTAATGATTTTGTTTGCAGCAAGCTGAAAAAAAGCCAAAATTGAAATTCCATTTTTTTTTTATTAGGATGACAGAAAATAGGCTGTAACAAAGGTTATTTAGCAGTTCATAGAATGACTAAGTTTTTCTCAAACTTTTAGTTCATTGCTCTGTCATCTTTTGACCGATTTGAGATCTAGTTACAGTTTTGGACTCAGGAGGTCAAGCCCTTTCGATTGATGTATCTGACTACACCCAAGGTCTCATGGATTAATTTACTCTAATCGTGCTCGAAAGAATTTCAATTTGAGAGTAGGCTGGTAGAGATCCTGAAGAGTAATAAAGTTGAACCAGGTATACAGACGCCCCACACTTGGTTTTGCTGGTTCACAAAAAATATAGCTACTAAAAAAAGGAAAAAAAAGGGGGGGTCTCAGATTAATTTAATCTAATCCTGCCTAAAAGAATTTCAAGTGCAGTAGCTACTGAGGATTCCTTGTTGTTTTATTTATTTATTTATTTTTAAATAGGGATTTTGCCTAATTTTGGCAAACAACACATTTTCAATCCTAAACCACTCTTAAAATTACAAGATTATTGGAACCAAAATAGGTTTCTTATATTTTTCCAATGAATACTTTCCAACTTATCAGGCTTTTCTTTTCATACCATTTCAGAGAAAAATTTAGTTTTTCTCCAAAGATCTCCTTTCAACATATTTTTTATGGAAAAAATAAAAAATACATAGACATGTGGTTTAGGTTAGTTGGGGGGGATGGTGTTTTTAGCTCATTATCACAAAATGAACCCATTAAAAACATAGGCTTTAAAAGGTTTCACACATTCATTGGGAGGGATGACCTAATTAAAAGCAAATTATAGTATGAACAAAGTTATGAAAAGTCAAAACTTCTATTTAAGTTGAGAAGGTTTAAGTGATTGACAATGCATTGTAAATATCTTCAAGGCCAATTGAATTATTTTGGGAAAAGTAAAATACGATACCAGATTTCTTTGTCTGAACTAGTAGTTCTATGGTCTTTTTCTTAAAGGTTAATCTATTTCATATACGTTCTAGCTTAGAAAATACTTTCCCAATACTTCTTTACAAATTTGCTAATGATCTGAATTGCAATTCCTAATTCAGTGCTAAGTAGAATAGAATAAATCAAATATTTGACTTCAATTCTGAATAACAAATTCAATTAAGTCTTATTTTTACACACTAATAAAATTTATGCTATAAAAGCTAAAAATGATTTTTAATTATATATAATTGACTGAACTTTCTCATCCCCCTAAACCACTATTTGACAGAAGTCTGCGTGTCCAATTACAACTAGAAAATCAGTGGAGGGCAGATGAAAGATGTGTGTGTTTGTCTTTATTGTGCACTGAATGGGTACATCAGCTAGTAACAAAATAAAACTCAATCAAATTTAAGTTATCTATTTTTAAGTGTCTCATAATCAACAACTTTAAAATGAAATTACCGTTTCTTCAAAGGAGCAACGCATTAGAGCACCTGTATCTTGTCTATTAATCCCATGACGAGTAATTGCCATAAGATGACCCTTTGCAGTCATGACATCACACAATAAGGCCAAGTGCCGATAATTCACATAAGAACCATCAAATGATATTACATGATTCATTTCTTTCTCTACAGCCTTACGAACAGCCTCAATCCCAAGAACCTAATGAAAGAAAAGAAACATTCTGTAGAAACTTACATTATAAATTTTATAATTAACGAAGTACATAAACTCTATTTCAGATTAAAATTTCTTATCACCACAAATATCCACCTATACATCTGTTTGAATGACCGTTCGTATTATGCAACTTATCATATTACAATCCTAATTCACCCATGAACTCTAAAACTAGCAACAGAATAGCTTATACAAAAAAAAATTCATAGCAGATTACTTTAAAAAGTGTGGGTATATTAAATGAACAATAAGAGAAATGTAGGTTAACGAAATGTATAATAATTAGATTAAAAGTGGGATCCTAACAAAGAAAACGTTGTTTCAAAAAGAAAATTAATATTTACCAAGTTATTTTTTTGGTGTTTTAGCTCTACTTTTTTGAGAACTGTTTTATTTGTGTATAAATAAATATATATATATAGAAAAATAAAAAAATTACCCACTACTAAAAACAAATTGAAAAACCAAAGCATAACATTACCGAAAATATCTCGCAAATGTCATTAGACACTGTACGAACAGGATCAACATCTCGTTCACTAAGAACCCTCATGAGACTGGTACCATCAGTTTCAAGAAGCCATTCAGCTATAGCCTTGAATTCTCCAGTATCCGTGATGACAATTCTCTTCTTGTTGTCAGTGGTAGGAAGGTGCATATACACCTGTAACACAAAAATAGAGTGAGGCTTGTTATTAATCATTTTCTATAAAATATAATCCAACATAATTCCTTTTACCAAAGACACAGGATGATAGTTAATTTTTTTAATAAACAAATGGCATTACCCCTATATGAACAGCATCGAACCAACCCCATTTCTGTGAAGCTATTCATAGCAATGCTTACTGAAATTCCAAACTTACTTAGTGTATCTTCATAAAGTTTGGTAAACTTATAATGAACATTACAAGAATGTTGCATACAAAATATCAGAATTTCAAGTAAAGTATTTCTACAAAAGATTAGTCTGTGCATTTACTGAGTCAATCTGACTCAAGACACTGACTAGTATAAGTTCAACGTATTTTCATGTTAAGAATAACAATATTTCTCCTTTTACAGTTTTCATATTTAATTTCCATAAACTCTAGAACCTACAAAATGAGTATCAGAAGTTTTTGGGTTTTTTTTTATACAACTTTTTTTTTAAAAAAATGTCTGCAGAATGTAAGAGATAATTACAATTATTTATCTTATACAATTGAAACTTTTCAGAAATACTTTCATTTTATTTTATTACTCTTTAAACCATGTAAGTACCATTTCAAGCAATAAATCACTCAGTAGAAGTGTTGAGAGTTCAAAGTAAACAAAGTTTCAGGTTACATTAAACATTTTATGTATCTGCAGTACTCAAGATAAAAATAAACATTTTCATTTAAATTTTGCTATCTAACCTAACTTTATTTTTGTTAAAAAAAAGATTTAATAATAAATAAATAATATCTATAAAAACAAGAAATATAGAACTTATTTTAGCTTTAAGTTAGGTGGAAGTCAAATGCTTGTCTGATTCTGTTCTGTTCCTATTATGTTTGTTGTCCAAAAAATAATTCATGTAACTTTCCAATATGAATTTTATAAAACCAAAAACATATCACTCACTAAATTATACTGTATAAACTTACTGTAATTTACTTGGTTTTCTAACTAACCAATAAATAAGTTAAATCAATTTCATTACTTCCTGGATCAATGTTTTCAGTTCAAACCCATTGAGCTCTGATGGAAAATTATTGAATATAATGGCTCAAACAAAATACATTATCACATTCTGACTGTAGTGTACAATTAGCTCTTTCTACTGGTTATAAACATGATCAATAGAACTGTCAGAGAATTATATTGACATATTTTGAAAGACAGGAATACGATATGAGGGGAGTGGCATGTGAGTTTGACTTTACTCTTTATACCTTAGTAAAACAAGAAGATTTGAGATTACAAAATTACATTATGGTTCAACAATATCAATAGTACAAGTTTGTAATTTGTGTTAAACTCAGAAAATTGTATAGGGGTAAAAATAAAATCTAAAATCTACAATTTAGAGCAGAGAAGTGTCATATCATATAGAAAAGTAAAAACTGAGTAGTTTTTTTATGAAATTAAAACATATAATATTAAAATTTCAATCATAAATTATATCTTAATGGCAGGTTTATTGACAAACACTGTCATTAGTTGCTTAATGCAATTTTGAATGTAACTATAAAAAGGCAATCACATGCACACTTTGACCCCTACACTGTACACATAGGGTCAAAAAACCTTTTTTTTGGGGGGGGGGGGATTTTAAGTATACAGTATTGAGGAAATATTTAAAAGCATGTGATTAACATCCAGAAGAAATTGATCAAAGATTTTATGACAGTATAATTTAACCTAACCTTAGTGATAGATTCTATGCCTTGTAGTGTCATGTCACTCAACATGTTTGCTTCTATACATCGAAGAAACACATCATCTTCCATCTTGTCCACTTGCTCTTCCTCCTATCAACAATACTCTTGTCAGAAATAGGATAACAATTAAGAAAGAAATTTAAAATTTCTATAATTATATATAAACTGTAACTGGAATTAAAAATTGATACATACTGAAACGTTTTAAGTAGTTTTCATATCCACCATATGATTTCCTTCAGATACACAATCTATACTGTAAGATATCACTTTCAATACTCATTTTTAAAATTACTTATACAGAGAGAAATAATTTCAGTATAATTGGCAAGACTGAAAACAAAGCCCAATTTTTCACTATGCAAGATATAAAAAAGTAGTTAAACTATCACTGTACATCTACTCTCTTATAGACTGTCCTTTCAACAATAATTAAAATATTTTATAATACCTTTTATGATACAAAATAAAAAAAAAGACAGTTACAACTCACATCTTGGAATTTGCTTTCATCGTTGTTCATGATCCTAATACGAAGAACTAGTTTCTCAGCATTGTCATCATTGAAAATACAATTCAAGTCATCTCCAAATCCTGCATTTATTTTTTCTGCAATTTGCTCCATGGTCAGTTTTTTGTCTGTCATGCGCTTACGATCCAGCTCTATGCGCAAAAGCCAAGGAGAGATCCTTGTGGGGTCAAAATCTGGCATTTCATAATATACATTAACAAATTCTTGGTCTTCAACAATAACAGTATTTTGTGGGTCAGGATCATAGTAAATGGCAGTGTTAGCAGTGACTTTTCTCAAAGTTGTGTGCTCCAAACGACATAAAACATCCTGCAAAGCCAGAAATTAATATATAAAAATTGTAGTTTGGAAACTTCTAACACAAGTCATTTGGAATAAAACTTCGAGAAAAAAAAAATTGTACTGCAAAACAACAAAACTTTAAAACAAAAAAAGGTTTCAGTCCATTACTGGCATCCCTTAGTCTATATACAGTAATTTGTATTTACACACCTTAATACTTCTAAGAACTATGGTTCCACAAATGTGGGATGCTTATTCAGTTTTTAGTTTCTCTACTTTTAACATGCTAAAATGATTTTACCTTTGCTTTTTCGGCATCCCGAGCAGCACTGCCAGTTAAAAACACGGTCAAAGAAGGAGTTTTAGGCTTCTTGGAGATATTGATAATTTCTTTCAGTCGAGGTACACCTAGAGTTACATTCTTGGCAGACACTCCAGCATAGTGGAAAGTGTTCAGTGTCATCTGAGTGGCTGGTTCTCCCAGAGATTGTGCAGCCAAAGGCCCCACCATCTCTCCAGGTTGAACCTAAAAATAAATATTTCAACATGCCAGGTTTTAGAAATAAAACAAAAGCCATTTGAACCTGCAGAAATCAACCAAGTGACTATACTGTCTAAGAACAATGGCCATTACCTGGGCCTGCTGAAATCTTGCTTCGATTTCTCCCAACAACCATTGGAATGATTCACTAGATAGTCTGAACTCTTCAGCAACACGCTTAGCACAAAGGGTTGATCTCAGCAAGGCACGGAAAAGTATTGTTGCATTATCATTAGCCTGGATACTCAGCCTATCTTCACCAGGCACCACCACTAGCTTCTTCACAAGTTCTTCGACACCTATAAATACAAATGTTGAAAATATATTTGATTCCACACTTCCTATTAATCTACTGAATACAGAACTAAGACACAAACTTCAATATCATTTGTATACTGTTTTATTCAATCAATAAGTTATTTTCTTCTTTCAAATTTAATAGTGCTTCAAGAATGCTAATATTTGATGAAAGCAAACAAATTGTTGACAAAATTTTTATTTTTATTCAAAAAATGTTTCATTTCCACAACTGAGTTAACAGATGTCACAGAAATATACCATGTTATGTAAGAATATTATATTTAGAGATTATATCTCTTGGTAATTCAATATCATAATAACCTTAGAGCTAGTTCAACATCAAAATCCTGATTATCATTTAAAACCCACCTCCAATCACTTTCAAAGGACTTAAATCTGTAGGGGCTCTCTGATTGACATGAAAAATCTTCTGTGCACTCCAGATCATTCTCTGAAGGTTACAAGGTAGAACTACCTGTTGGAGTAAAAAATGATACTGAAACATTCATCACTGAGACATTGATATTTTAATTCAAACACAATAAACATTAAACCTATCCCCACACAGGAGAGGTGTCAATGATATCCAAAGTTTTCCTTCTAAAAGTGGAAATACTTAACTGAATTGCATAAAACTTAGTACAAACTTACTAAGTAGTATCTACATACAGCTTTAAAAAATTCTTATACTTTGATTTGGTATTTATGATTTTTCTTTTATGGTGAAAAACTTCCAAAATTTAGTTGTGAAACACCATTTTGAAAAAAAAACATTTAAAATACTTCATTTTATCTTACAACTTTTCTTGACAATAAAAAAGTTCCATTTCATATATCTAGTCAGTTTCAGTTTGACATTTTTGCCAATTGCAGTATTCACTATTTACGATTATAAACTGTATAAAAATACAACAAAATTAACAAAGATTTATTTCGTGACCAAGGAATTGAACTATTGAAATAGCTTCACCATATCTTTGTCAGGCTAAGTATTGTAATTCTTGATCAGGATCAATTTCAATTACTAAATAGTTTATTTTCAATAAGCAGCAAGTTCTTTCAGGTATGTTGTTTGAATATGATAAAATTAATAACAATATTCAATAAATAAGGATTAGAGTCATTGTAATAATATTTCTGGTACATACAAGATTTTTTAAACCTAAGTAATGTTACCTTATGTATAGTAGTAGAAGAAAATTTCTGTAGCTTTCAGATGTAATTTAACCAGAAAATATTCTTAGGAATGAAAAAATAATAATAATTCCCAGATCCATGATTTATTCCCAAGTATTCTAAATTTCCCATTAATTCCTCTGCTAACTTTCTTGAAATTACTGCTCAGAACACTTCATTTACTCTACACTAATGTAACAATATAGAATCCACTCTATCCAATTATACTTAAATGTTGCCTATAACTATTTTAAAACCTAAGAAACTTTATTAGTAATTATTCTGACCTCATCCTGTAATTTCATAAAAGGGTGGTAACAACAAATTATAGTAATAAAATCATAGGAGGGAAATCACATGAGCCATAGATAATTATACTCTAAAGCAGGGTCGATAAGACTGTGAAGGAGGTGAATAAAAACTTAGGGGTCGACAGGGAGTTGAAAATGGCCCCCTAGGGTAAGGTTGGCCCGCACAACTAACCACCAAATGCCTTTCCAAGTTTGTACATCGTGGAAGGTGGATTTAGCCATGTGAATTGTCTTTGAGCAGTGAAACAAGCTCAACACTGAAGAGTGCAGGGACTTGAGACTCAAACTCACAAACCTACAGCCCAATATTCATATGCTTGTTAAAGCCCATCCATCTCACTGGAGAAAATTAAAACCTGTTTCTTTTCTTTATTTTATGTTTCCTAACGATTGTATTGTGATGAATATATTGAAGTTTCATTTATAATTTATAGTCTAAGAATTTTGGGGTCGGCAACTCAGAAAGGTTTAGGAAACCCTACTCTAATAGGATGATGGTTTCCAAGAAAATACAAATCTATACTTTAGAACTGACAAAAATATTATAAAAAACAAACCAATAAATGAATTTTTTTTATAGGCAAGACTCCTCAGTACTGCACAGACATGAACATTGTAACATTTTATTATTTTTCTTTGTAAATTACACTAAATAAATGTACACAAATGACAAAATATCAACACTAAAATATTACTGAAATAGTTACAAGTTTATTTTTACTTAAATTTTAAAATTTGATATGCATGCGTGCACTTGAAACCTGAAAAATGCTCACTAGTTGGATAGGGTTAAAAACAAGCCTTAATTTCAAAAGAATACATGTTAGGTTCTCATAGAAAAGTGCACTTTAAATTTACTTTTCTTATTAAGAGTTTATTTTACATGTCAATTGTAAAAACATAATTTGACCACATATAAAAGGAAAATATACACACTTTTTAATCAAATTAACTTTATGTCAAAAGGTTACGTGCAGAAACATAGCTAAAATTATAGTGACAGTTTTAATAAAACATTTGTATCATTAGCCATGTAAGCAGTCATAAATACTGAGATGCCATCCGTACTGAATGAAACTTCACTATACGAATAGCCTTACCTTACTATCACCTGTAGGGAAAATGGCCCTCAATAATTCCCTGTCATGTTTCAGTTTTTCCCATTCTTTCTCTAGTTCACTCAGTGCAGTGGCACTGCCCATCAAGTCTCTCACTACATCCTCAGTAAAGATACGTCGTAAATACCTAAAAAAAAAAAACAACATTCAAGTACAATAGCCATAGATTCCATAGAATGGAAACAAAAAAGTCTAACTTTCTCACCTGGAAGTTATTCAAGATTCTTTGCCCTTCCTGTAACCAATAATTTCCATTTCTGACCAAAAGTAGACTATTTTTTTTGTTGTGTTATTTCTCAATTTAAAGATTTAGAGAATAAATGCTATGCAGAACATTGTGGATACATCAGATAATGTTCCTATGCTTCCTACTACTTGCAACTGCAAAGCATAAAGGTGATTCAACTGCAGTAAATGCAATCAATGTGGACATGATCACAGCAGGACATGCAATGAAATAAAGTTAACATGGGGAGAAAAAAGGTGGGCAAAGAATCTCCAAAAAGAATAATAAGAAAACTAGAAGTGAAAAACAAAACATTCCACTTCAAAAGCAAGAGCTGCTGTTGCCTTGGTTCTTGAAGTTGGTGATTCAGATGTTAATGAAACTCATCTAACTTTATCTTTATTCAATTATTTTAGAAAAGTTATCTGGTGTTCTTTGTCCGTTATTTCTCTTATTCAAATACTTCTGGTCCTTGTTTGCTCTGAAGTATTTAATTTTCTGGCTAAGCTAACATAAAAAATAGCATTTGACCCTCTTCAAAATAGATCAGTTTGTAGGTTATATCAAAATGAGTTTGAGTATCTGTGCTTGTTTTTAGACTGTTTATTTAGAACAATCTGTACAATACAACAGTCAAAATGGAAAAATTCGTCTACCAGATCTAATGATAGGACAATTCATCATCAAATTTTAGGTATTTTGACCTGTTTAAGTTGCAAATTCAATGTTACAAATATTAATAACAGCTAGAATCAGTCTTAGTTTTGTCACTTTACATAGATGGTTGAAGAGATTGAATCTTTTTAAAAGCTAAAACTGTCCCCCCACCCCCCATATTTTAATTTTTGAGAATATCCCAAAATGCTTTTTTTAGTTAATTGTTCTTCATTTTTTAGTCACAGATGAAACAGCTTTCTACCTTTTCTTGTTGTGTTTCTACCCACTGGTAAGTCCTTTATTTTTTACAAAGAGACTCAAATTAGTACAAAATATAATGTTAATAAACAGCCCCTGGTTTTCAATACCCCCACAATTTCTTGAAGTCAAAAGCAAACACTACTTTCATAACAATTATAGTCAATTGGTCATTTAAATAAATTAATATTGTCCTTTAGAATCTTCCCCCCCCCATCCCCTTTTTTTTTTACAGTTACTGGAAATATAAAACAATAAAAATACAATTTTACAATTAAATGTACATATTCAAATAATGTATTAACTTGTTGCTAAGCTATCCCAGTCATCATACCTTTCATTGGATGCATTAAACCTAAACTTCTTCTCAAATGCTTTATCTGAAGGTTTCAGTGTTGGTAGTGACTGAACTTCTACAGCTGTCCCATCTAAACCATCTTCTCCATACTTCAACTGAATCACCTGCCCAGTGCTGTTTCTCACAGTTCCATCATAAGTAGCCATTACACTTTCCATAGCTTTGATTAAACGTCGTTGAATGTAACCTGCAAATAAAAAGTAAAATGAAGAAACTATCCAAAAACAATGCCATCTTTACAGCTTCAAAGCTTAGTTTCCATTATTTGTACTCAATGTAGAGCTTATTTTAAATATTCATAACATGGTTCAGAGCAGATATTTAACACATTTTTCTGTAAGGCTATAAAAAATATGCAATTGATTTTTAACATTTATAGAGCAGGTAGTATTGTTTGTAAGTTACCTGTTTCTGCTGTTTTTACAGCAGTATCAATTAAACCTTCTCTACCACCCATAGCATGGAAGAAAAACTCTGAAGGCGTTAGACCAGCTAGGTAAGAGTTCTCAACAAACCCTCTACTTTCTGGTCCATAATCATCCTTGATGAAGTGCGGAAGGGTACGTTTTCGGAATCCAAAAGGAATTCGTTTACCTTCTACGTTTTGCTGTCCTACACAGGCAATAACCTAAATTACAAGATAATAATATCATGATTCAAATGTAATTCAAGAATAATGTGATAATTACAAAAATTCAAAACTTTAACCCTAATTGTTGATTCTTAGCCTACTGTTAGAATTTTTTATTCAAACAGTGATATATCTAAAATACAATACTAGCCTGATTATAAGGAGATATTTTTTTTAAGAATTACGCTGTAAAATTCATAGTTGCTATATAATTGCGGCCAACCACAGGCCCTTCCCCTTATTCTAGCCTGTCGCATTCATGAATATCCAGATAGCATTCATTTATGCAAGTGCAACAGATGTTCACTCAAGGTCATCATTAATTCTTGCAACTAATTCCCCTGCAGGTTGTTCAGTTATATTATTGATTTTGCTGACCAAAAAAAGAATGTTAATGTTTCTGAAAATAGGGGTCATCTTATATTCGAGATTGCCTTATATAATTGGTCCAATATGGTAGTCTTAAGGGTGAATTGTTGAAGCTGGTGATGTCAAAAAATGTAAAATCGAACTTTTTGAATTTCTTTTTTTGTAATAATTTTCTTATTTCTAAAGTTGTTGAAATCATATATATATATATATCATCTGAAATTAATTTCTTTCTTGCAATCTATTTACTATAGATCTTCCTTGCACTTAACTTAAGAAAGTAAAATTTTTAAAGATGCGTGAAGTGAACAGAGTAAGTTTCCTGGGTGTATTTGACTTTTTGTTTTCATTTAGCTATGGTATTGTTATTTGTAAGCAACTAAAGAGAATAAATTAACTTAATAAGTTTCCATGTATGTTTATTTGTTTTACTGAAGTAGTTTTCTTTACAGTTAATTTTTTGTGTATTATAGCTTTAGTCTTGTAAATTAGCCCAAATGTCAGGCTGAAATGTACAGCTTTACCTTGTTGTCTGTACTTAGACAAAAAAAGCAAGTTCATTACACAGTTTTAAAAACATTATTATATGCAGGCCATAAGTCATTTTACGTATAAATTAGAGTAACATAAGTACTACCTATTTATATCAGTTTATAATACTTTAAATGATATTATATTGCACCATCTCTTTCAACAATGTGGCTAAGCATACACATAATTAAGCCTGCTATTCATACGTATCTCAACATTCACTGTAAGATCAACAGTTACGCAATGTATGCATAATAAATGGCTATGCTGAGTAATGATTTCTATTATATTATAAATCATAAGTTGATCACAAAAACGTAACTTATGTTTCAAAATGTGTAATAGATGTCATGTATTTGAAATGTCTGTGTTTCAGATTTGGTAATGTTTACGAGTTGTTAATATTTATTTATAAAAACAAAGTTGGTCAAGTACCATACAGCAGTAGCTAAAAGTATAATCATTTCAGATTTTTAAATACCTGTGATATATTGATCTTTGATCCTTTGGCACCAGATACTACCATAGCCTTGAAGTTGTTAAATTCAGAAAGTGACTTTTGGGCACTAGCACCAGTCTTGTCTCGAGCATCATTTAGAATACGGTTCACCTACAAAGAGTGAAAATGTTTATTTAAATTTAAATGATTTAATATAGACAGTTGTGTACAAGTGCAATTAATTAACAGTTACATATATGTGATAATCATAAAAATAGGAAAAGCTTCATAATGCAACCTTTGAGACCTGTCATAATTTGAGTTTAATACTAGCCAAGTTGTTAAGTCAATTTTCTTTGATTCTTAAAAGTCACTGTTCGAAATATCTTAAATACTGTTTTAAATCTATACTTTAAATCAAACTATTATGAAATATATATATATATATATATATATACTTTTACATATTAAACATCCATTTATTTCACATTGTTACAGAAAATATGAGGTTTTTCTCTTAAGTATTCTTAATAAATATTAAAGAAAGATTGTGTAAATGACTGCTTCATTTACCTGGTTTTCAAAAGTCTGTCTCAAAGTATTACCAGGTGTTGGTTCCAACTCATCGTTATGGGCTTTTTCTATGACTTCGATCACATCCTGCTTGGCCTTTTTAATCGTATTCTGAATCTCTATGTAAGTTTGTGGATCAGCAATTGTGTCACCAATACCAATTGTATGACCTTCCAGAAGTAGCCAATTATTAACAACTGTCTGAATATGACCATAGAACTGGCCTGACACTTCATGCCCGAGTTCATTGAACACAACATGCATCAGTGAACCACTAGAAGCTCCAACTGTCTTCTTACACACTATACCACTAATTAGTTCACCATGCTCAATAAGAACCTGCAAAAAAATATTTTACACTTTTCTTCAAAACCTAAAAAAACAACATATACAGGTTTAAGAATTACTACCCAATAGGTCTGGATATTTATCTAGACCTCTTCTTGAAAAAAACCCAACAAAAACAAGCAATGGCTTTACAAATCTTATTAACCCTATTGCAACAGGATCAGTATAAAATACCAAGTCCATATACAAATTTGCACTTGTTAAGTATTTATAATATAACTTTTAATACAATATGTGTATCTTCAAAAAATTTGGTAGACTTTTTGGAAACTTTAAAACTCAAAAAATCCGATTTTTTTAATAAAGTGTTTTTACTAAAGAATGGTTTGTGAATGTATCAAGTCTTTTTTTTTACTAGCCCAAGTGCAAAGTGATTTTCAAGTTGAGATCAAAAATACTTTTCTTCATCTGAAATTTTATTTGCATAATCTCTAAAACCTCCTAAATATATTTCAAACATTTGTTTTTAGTAAAACTTTATGTTCTATCTGTCCTTTTCTCTACCCTAACTCTGTACAAGGTTGGTCAATTTGATCTATCTTATAACCACCATAGTTCAAAGGGTAATAAAACAATAAAATTTAAGTATAAACATATGTATACTGTTACAATGTAGTTTCATGTTACAATTTGAAGTCATTCTAGAAAGAAAAAAGGGTAATTTAGATCTATTTCAATTTTTTTTGTATGTGACAAACTTGTAATGTTTACTGAAAGTCTACCAAATTTGGTGAAGATATACATACTATATCAAAACTATAACGGCTTTAAACGTGTATAAAGTGGTCAGTCAATTCGACCAAGCCCACGTCAAGAGAGTTAATAGTCCATACCCGTGTCTGCCTGCACCCAAATAAGTGTAATAAGCATGTAATAAATTTCAATATATATAAAAATTAGTCTAAACAAATGCTTAAACTACTGGAAATGAGATTCCATATTTTTCCCATTTATTGAAATTGACATGTGACAGAAACATCTTTATAAATATGATAATTTTCTTTCTTTCTTACAAATCATGCATTACAAAACCAAATTATTTAAAATAGCAACACTAGTGCCAAATACCTGTAGTTTAATTTCTATTATATTTTCAAACATTACTAATTTGAATGAAGCAAACCAAAAATACTAAAATAAATTAAACTAACTTTTGTATCTCCTGGAGAGATCCACTTGTAAGGTCCATCATCTTCTTCATCAGGATGTGTGCTATGGGTTCGAATCAAATTGATGTTTGGTGGAATGATCAGTGAAAACAATTGTTTGCCAGTCCATAATGGCTTTGGTTTCAGAATAGCTGGCATAGGCATCTTGCCATCCCAGATAGGCAAGTACATAAGTAAATTCATCATCTGATCCTAAACAGACGAAACAAAAGGAGCTTATACTGAACTTATATAGCAACAATTTCACCTAATACAACACTTTCCATAAACATTGTCTTGTTTTAATACCTAAAAAAAATATTTTTGTATTCAAGAAATCTGCTATATCAATAGTATTCCCTACCACACATACAGTAAATTAACACAATATTGCATGGCTGGGTGCACCTACTACATTGAATCAAAAAATACATAACAAATAAATTTGTAGCCATTCTTCCGTATTAGTTAAGGCACATTAATGAGTTTATGTCATTTGAACCTTGAAACTTCAATGAAAGTGAACTTTTTATTTTATTTTAACCAATTATTGTTTCTCAGACTTGTAATGATGTTACGTAATTCTTACATCTCAGCTTTAAGAAATCATAATGATCTAAACAAACAATGAAAGCTTTTCTTCCTGTTCTTTTCAGTTCAGTGAAGAAACATGTAGAAATTTAAACAAAGTGTTTATAAGCTTAGTTTGGTGATATGCTGGGGGGTGGGGAGATATCTGTGAACAACTTCTGGCAAATTAAATCCTGATTTTTTTTAAGGCTTGCTTTATCATATTTCATTTGAATTATGATACTTCAGAAAGCTTTAAAAATAATTTATTTTTATGGAACAAGTTGAGAACTGTTAGGCTTAATTAGATCATTCTTCACTTGACCACATGTTTCATTTCACTGAAACAGACATTTTTTTGTTGCACCGCATTTCCATTAGGCTTTATCAGCCTATGTAACTGTTTGAGTAGCAAGCAATATCCCAGGTAATAAATGTAAAAAGAATATATACATTTTCATACAAATACCACATATAAAAATATTATTTTACAGACTACTTCACTAGTAGAACATAGTTTCATACAATTTAAAGACTTTTTTGAAATGCAATTAAACAAATCATATGACGTGCTTCAAATCAAGGTAACTGCACATTTAAATTAAGGAGACATTACACAAAAGCAGTAGTCTTTTTGACAAAGGAGGAAAACCTGTTTTTGATTCAAGTTGTAAATTATTTGAGAATCATAAAATTTTAAACAAACCTTTTCTAAGAAAACATCTCTCCTAGTCATTTTCCTGACTGCAGTCAAAGTATCCTGCACAATTCCCATCACGGGTTTATTTGATTGAGGTGTAATAATGTTGCGAGATACCATAGCCAACTGCTCTATCTCAGCTCTGGTTTCTAGTGATTGTGGTACATGAAGATTCATTTCATCTCCATCAAAGTCAGCATTGTAAGGAGTAGTCACACTATATATACACGTATATGCAAAATATATTAAGACTATTATAACACTTACACAACAAGTGCCTATAACTGATATGCAAGAGAGTAAAAATATTTTTGGTGTATTATCTCCAAACTAGTTGGTATGAGAAATGTACTAGCCCAAACTGAAAATTAATACATTAAGTCTTATTGCAAATTTTCAACTGGTTCACTGTGATCACCACTGGGCATAGATGTTCGAAGTACCTCCAAATAAGAATTCTGTAATACTTATAATTGCAAATATAAAGGAAAAGATGAAGTTTACTTTAGTTCTGGTTTCAATTGTATGGCCTGTAAAGATTCCTTTATCAAAATGGTTTCTTGTTAAAAGCATGCAAACATATTTGATGTAATGCATTTTCTATATTACGGTACAGTGAAATTTATTAGCTTAACTGTTTTTTAACACTATAATGACTAAATTATTACACATTGCACACATTTGTCAGGCTTATGAAGTATTAACCTATCACTGATAAACAGGCTATCATTCTTTCAAACATTTCAGTGACAGTAGACATTTAATGATTTGAAAGGAAAAATAACAGATTTCAATGTTGTAAATCTTAATAGTTGTAATTAGATTTTACACATGATCTCATTTCATGAAGTAGAACCACACTAGTTTCAAATCAGTACATATGGAGTCACACATTTGCACTGGCTTGTTTGTTTTGAATTTTTAGCAAAGCTACACGAGGTCTATCTGCACTAGCTGTCCCTAATTTAGCAGTGTAAGACTAGAGGGAAGGCAGCTAGTCATCACCACCTACCACCAACTATTGGGCTACTCTTTTACCAATGAATAGTGGGATTGACCATCACATTATAATGTCCCCATGGCTGAAAGGGCGAGCATGTTTGGTGTGACGGGGATTCGAACTAATACCAGATTGAGAGTCGTGAGCCCTAACCACCTGACCATCCCGGGCCAGCACAAGCTTACAATAGATCAGCCTTCCATTAATAAACAGTCTACAAAGCTTAAAAAATTTCAGTGACAATGTATATTCAATGACTTGAAAAAAATAATAGGTAGCATTTTTGTAAATTTTAATAATTAAACATAGATGGACTTTACAAAGACACACACATTTCTTAAAAGCAGAATCACATTTCAATCTAGTACATATAGAATACACACTAACCTAAGTTCAAAATTTGCTAGTCCCAGGCACTGGGCAAGTGGATTTTTTAAACCCCTGGCAGAATACAATAAAGCTGAAGATACCACATCACTTATTGAAAATTATTTTTATGGAGCCCTCAGTAAAAAATTAGAGTGTCTGAGATTCCAATCATATTGTCATATAGTCAGTTTCATCACTGGGCTTTCAAAGACTTAAGAATACATTTTTCTTGTATTAAAAGTAACATTTTATAACCTCTTGTAATTCATCCTCAAATACTTTAGTTAAAAAGAACAAAGCTAACTCCAAACTACAATACAGACAATTAAGTATATGTGACATTTACATAGATTTGGATGTGGAAAAAATTCAATAAAGATATGCTAATTATGAGTAAAACTTTCTATAGGATTTGAATAGTCATACAAGACATTTTTTTAACTTTACCTTAAATTTAATCTAAACGTTGACCATGGAAGGACTTTAATTCTATGCCCCATCATAGACATTTTATGCAAAGTGGGTTGCCGATTGAAAATGACAACATCACCATTCCGAACATGTCTTTCCACCTGAAATGAGAAAACAGCCAATAATTTTTTTTACTTCAAATGTAACAACAGATTCTAATCATGTATCAACCTGTTTTGAATACAGTACCATTTAAATCTATTTTCCCACAAGGTTCATATAAAAATTTAGTATATGTAAATCTACATAATGTTTTTCAACTTTCTTATGCAGAAAAAACAACAAAATACAATGGTAAAGTTAGTAAACTGATAGCTTGAATTAAACTAGGCAAGGCTGCATAAATTTCTGAGATTTAATGAGTAACTGACTTTGTCAAAATTAAACTACATAGTTCAAGTCTTCAAATAAATATCACACCTTTTTAGTTAAAAGAAAATACACAACAACAAAACACACACCTGAAGACTACGG